CTCACTATTAGAGTAATTTGCTTTTCATCTGAGCATATGTTTTTGTTTATCTGGTGCTTCTAACATCCTTGTTGGCTTTTGGTTGCCCATATGTTGATGCCTTTTTCCTGGAGAGTGAGTCGCATTCTCTGACTCTTCATGGATTGAGCAGTATTGCAGAGCACATTCTGAATATAATTTGTAGACGTTGAGATTTTGCTGTGGAGAATGTATTTTAGCAGGTAACCCACTTGTTTAAACTCTCACTGCTCTGCCATTTGTGTCCATCCACACATACATGTGTGGCTTGGGGATCAGTTAGGAGTTCATTGAGCTTGGACAGAATTTGGGGTCCCTATTTTCTTTCTGTCTTCCCTTATTCTGGCATCCTTGTATCGTTTCTGGTTCCTCCAGATGGAGACAGTTGGCTTTCTGCTGGCCTCCAGAGCCATTTTCAAGGCAAAGCCACAGAATAAGGAGGGAGAATTGCCTGTGTGTTGTGTGCTTAGTCCAAACTTGGAACTTTTCAAAACAACATTTGTTGATCACTCCAGAAACTTTGCAGTGTCTTCATATATTTAATTTATTAGAAGACCAGTTTGTACGTGTTTATTCTTATTTAGAAGCCCAATTCTTTTATGTTTTATATAAATATATACATAAAGCTTTAATTTTCTGCCTACACCTGAGTTCTCACCTGATAGTACTACTAGTGAGTCTGTGAATTTAATAAATTAGGGTAAATGTTTTCTAAGGAAGCATTTTCTCTTCTTTAATGATTGGCTACATGTAGATGGAAGAAAAACAACCTATAAATGACATTTGGAATCAATTTGTTAACTTGCACAGTTCTGAGACATTTTCCAGATTGTTAGTTACTTCCAGTTGTAGGTGATGACTACAGATAAGATAAAATATGTTCTAAATCACCAATTCCTCAAATGTTTTTGTCTTAGGACCCTTTAATATGTTAAAAATTGTGATAATCTCTAAGAGACATAGGCTACACTGTTAATTATGTTGGAAATCAAATCTGAGGAATTTTAAAAAGATTTTTTTTCTAATTAATTTTAAAGTGCCAATAGTAAATCTATGTTAGTAAAACAGATTTTTATGAGGAATAAGTAATTTTTTCTTAAAATAAAGAAGTGGAGTTTTTGTTTTTTTTTGTGATTGTAACTTTATCAAACTGAGTTCTTGTTTAATAAAAGACTAATGAAATGACTCACTGGGTAAAGGCACATGTCACCAAGCCTGATGAGCTGAGTTCATTCTCTAAAACCTACATGATTGAAGAAGAGAGTTGACTTCCAAACTTGTTCTCTGACCTTGATATGGGTGCTCTGGCTTGCACATATTCATGCACGCGTGCGCGCGCATGAGCGCGCGCACACACACACACACACACACACAAATGTACATATAACAATTTCTGAAAGGCCTTTAGAAACTTACCTAGTTTGGCAGAAAAGCCTTTGCAGTATCCAAGCAGACTCTCATGTGCTCCATACACAGGCAAACATGACCATGGAAGGGGTCCAGCTGCAATGTGTGACTACACATGTGTTTGAGACCATCATCCCAGGGCCATATTTTAGGAACTTATTTCTGTCTGAGGATTTTAAGCGCCAGTGTGATCTATGAGAAAACATTTGTTTGTACTAATATATTATTTATTGATCAGTCTGTCATTTTTAAATGTATTTAACATTACCCATGATTTTTAAAAGACCCATAAGTAGGAATGTGTGCTTGCAAACATGCATGCCTGTGATTTCTGAGTGTTGTAATTAAAGGTGACAGATATATGGGCGTAGATGTGTGACATTAACTGTAGTTGGAGTGAAGAGATAACTAGAGTGCAGCAGTCCATAGAAGATACTTATGTTACGTTAAGAGCTTTGATCAGCTGGCCTTTGAAGTATGAGCAAGGAAGCAGCCACGCACATGGGCAGGGTTTGTTTACTCTTCAGAAATGGGAGCCAACAATCCTAGTTAGAGCTCATGGATTTATTTCTGTAAATGGGCCAGTTTCCTCACATGGACCATAACACAAACATGCTACACTCACGCCTTCCCATGTTAGCTTTGTATTTAGATTAACTTGTACATTTTGTTCTTGGAAACGAGAAAACATTCCCAGTTTGAGTGTGTACCCTGAAATAGAGCCCCCCACTAGCCTTGTTGTGTTTACTAAAAAATGCCTACTCTCACTATCTCTCTGCCCAAGTAAACTTCTATTTGAATATTTTGTGAAAAAAAAAATTGGGTTAAAACAATTGAACACCTACATCTTTCTGAAAAACTTACTATTGAAGGGTTTACTTATTTTCCCTCAGTAATGTTGGAAGACCCAAAGATTTCTGATCACACTAAAGAAAAACCTACTGGGTCATTGACCCTTCCCTCAATTTCTTTAATTATGAAACCTAGCAGAACATTTCTAATCTCAGTGATTAAAACCCATTTATTCATGTGCCTTGGTGTTTACATGGAGGACAAAGAGGTTTGTGGGTTCAGTTCTGTCCTCCCAAGTGAGTTCCAGGAATTGAACACAGGTCATGAGGCTTAGAAGCAAGCACCTTACTCACTAAGCTAACCTACCAGCCACTTTTAGTCTTCTATTTTCTTGTATCTCTCTCTCAATTTATATTTTATTTTTATTTTATGTGCATTAGTGTTTTTGCCATGGGTGGTGGTTCTCTTAGAACTGGGATTGCAGACAGTTGGCAATGAACCCAGGGCTTTGCCTGTGGTAGCATGTACTCTACCACTGAGCTACAGTCCCAGCCCGATTGCAACTGTTCTAAGTGCCTCATATAAATGGTGTCTGACATAGAGGGACTGTTTACAGTTTATTCATTTCACATAGCATAATAATCTTAAAGATTTTCCATGTTATTATGTATTTCAGGGTTCCTCCCCTTTTAAAACAGAATAGCATTCTATGTATACACTGTTTTGCTCTTCCACTAATTTGTTGATGGGTACTTGGTCTATTCCACATTATAGAACATCAGTGACTGTTAGGTCTTTGTTTTTATGGAGTTTTGTCAAAACATAATAAGCACCTACATTAGTAGAAGCAGCTAAAACTATATAGTAAGTCCCTCATTAGTGTTTACACTGCTCAAAAATATTACTTAGCACATTCAGTTTCAGGGCATATTTTCTAGATTTTTCAAGCCTAATAGAATGGTTTAGAAATAAGATTTTGTCCTGTTCTATTGGCATGTGTCCTTAGTGGATTATCGTGCCATCGGTTTAGAACGATTGTTTCAGGGATGAAGAAGAAAGCATTGTGGGTGAGAAATGATTGCTGCAGAGTGCTTTCAATACAATTACCCAGAATTATTCCTTTTTTTTTTTTTTTTTGGACCCTTGTTTCTACAAGGTCAGGTCACCATGCATCTCACTCAGTTCCAGGTTTCCTTATTGTCTATAAGTCAATTGAGGACAGACTTCTTCCTTTGAGAAATTTCCAGCAGCTTGTTCCACATTGTTAATTTTTAGTTTATTAAATAAGTATATTTTTATTATAACTTTAATTAGCTATGTTATACTTTTGGAAAAGACAACAATTTACCAGGCATAGCCAAAGTACAATTTGATTAATACTTACATCAATGAAAGTAATGGAAAGTATATTATTGATAACCATGTAATGGAGACCAGCAAAGATAAATCCTTATAATGCATATTCATATGTTCAGGTACAAGTAGCTTCATTGTGCGGTCGGGATATCAGATTTGTAAATGGAAGCATGAATCAGAGAAGATATTTGAATAAAAGGAATTTGTCTCCTTTTGTACACAAGCGTGTACATGTATATATGTGTTTGTATGTGTGGTATGTCACATGTGTGGGCTCACACACACCTTGTGTATGTGAACGTGCATGTCCATCAGAGGCCCAAGGTTGACCTCAGGCGTCTTTCTTAGTCCTTCTCCATCTTTTCACTGAAGCAGGTCTTCCTAGCCAGCTTGCTCAGGGATCCCCATCTCTGATCCCATCTCTGCCTTCTCAGTGAGGCAGCCCACCTGATGTTGCTCAGGTGCTAGAGATCCAGACTTCAGTCTGCTGTAATTGCTCATGTGCCAGAGGCTGGCTTTTGCTTCTGTATGCCCCTTCTTCCCTGTTACATAGCTTTTCACTCCTTTTCTTGTCTTGTTTGTTTGTTTTTTTTTTGTTTGTTTGTTTTATTTTGTTTTGTTTTTTTTTTTTTTTTTTTTTTTTTTTTTTTTTTTTTTTTGAGACAGGGTTTCTCTGAGTAACAGTCCTGGATGTCCTGGAACTCACTATATAGACCAGGCTGTCCTTGAACTCACAGAGACCCTCCCAAGTGCTGGGATTAAAAGTGTAGGCCTCCACCACCAGGTTCCTTTTTCTTGTCTTATTGCCATGGTGAGGTCTTCTGATCCACATTGTTAAGTAGGAGCAGTAAAGGCAACTTCTCGTCTGTTCTTAAACCTAGCTGGGAGGGTTTAGTTCTTATAATTAAGTATGATGTTGGTTGCCAGCTAACTGAAACTTTTGTGTCTTTAGATCATGATGAAGTAGTGTGTTTTGTTGTCTTTATTGTACATCTTTAGTATCTGTACAATTCATTCATTTCAGATGCCTTTCTTCCTTAGCCTGCTATTGTGACATTGTGTTTGAATGGTAACCATCCTGTATCTCTGGAATAAATCTCGTTTGACTGTTATACATCATCCTTTTACATCCTTCGATTTGACTGCCTGGTATTTTGTGTTATTTTTATCTACTTGGGGTGTCCAGCTGATGCTCACCTGACACCACTGTCCCCTCTGCTTATTTCTGCAAGAGACTAGAAAAGGTTCCTAGAAAAGGTTCATTTCCCATGCTCACCTATTTCTGTCTTCTTCCCATTAAAGTGATCACTCAGAGATCTGTAGGCCCATGAGCACTTGGCCATTATTGGTTTGAACGTGGTGGATGTGCAGTTATAGCTATGGATTTCTTTATATCCATAAACTTACTTGTGATTTTACTTGCTTAGAAAAAAGAAAGCGAATGCCTGCGATTGAAAATTCTGGTGCTCCGAAATGAACTGGAAAGACAGAAGAAAGCACTGGCACGGGAGGTGGCCTTCCTGCAAAAGCAGCAAACCGCTCTACAGGACAAAGGTGAGCAGTGCCACCATGCAGACCAGCTTCCCTCCATGCACGGTAGTCTCCTTCTTTCTGTGGGACCAAACAGACACTTTTGCAGACTTTAAAAAAATTTTTTTAAGTAGTTTTGAAATATCTTGACGGTGCTAACAAGCATAATTATGTACCAGTCTTTATATGCTGAGATATATGTAACTTTTCACAAAGTAAACACACATGTAAATAGAATTTCAGTCAGTGAAACCATGACTAAAGACTTGCAACCCTGCCACCCACTGGTGCTTCCCACCATTCACCATGGTTCTAACCACACTACGAGACCAGAGATTGGTTTTATCTAATGATGCACTTTATAGAAATCATATGTACACTTTTTATGTGCTAGCTTTTTCAACCTGTTTGCTAGAGTCATCCTTGGCTTCCTATCATTATAATTGATTCTTAAGCATATTCCATTACACAAATATGTATGTATTTATCTATTTACATTCACTGTTGGTGAATTTGAGACTATTCCATGCATGTTCAAGTGCATGATGGAGATAAATGTGCATTTCAGTTGGCGAGAAACCTAGGAGTAAAACTGGGATTGTGGGTGGCTATCTCTCTTCGGCTCCAATAGATGGTCTTTAAAGCTTTTCCAAAACAGCTTTTCATTTGCCTGGCCCCCATCTTTGCCCTGCTCTGTGAGCCGCACTTGCTCTTTGTATGGTGTGTGGAGTGTGCCCTTGTAGCGTCGGGTTCTAGTCTCTCCAGCACCGTTCTGCACACTTTAAATGAACCCTTTGTAAAGTGTCAGTTGAGGGCTTTTGACTGTTTATTAAATTGTTATACTGCCAGTTTACAGAGGTCCTTGCTCTTTGTGGCTGTAGGGACTTTCTTTGACATGCCCATTAGGAGCATGTTCCCATCCTGTGGCTCGCTGCTGCTGCTGTCTACATTTAAGGCTTTGGGGCCTCGTTTAAGAACCATTGACCTGTTTGGAGACCTTAAAGGTGTTCTTCTGTGTTTTCTTCAGAACCCTTCACTAGTTTATGTCCACATTTATGTCATCAGTTCACCTGGAATCGATGATTGTATGTTCATAAGTCAGAATTAACATTCTGTTTTTCAGACAAACTGAGCATGGTGGTTCACTTTCTTGTGAGTTAGGTCGCTGTAACCTTGCTGCAGATCTGTTAAGGACCTTCATTTAATTTTTCTCATGTCATGCTTTGTTTTGATGTTTGTTGAAGTTTTTCAATTTAGTTGTTTTTCTTCTAAGTCACCTTGGTTATTCCCATTTTCATACACATTTCTAGATAAAACCAAAAGCCTTGCTAGGAGTTTAAGGGGGCTGCACTGAATATATCTGTCAGGATAGTTGTGGGAAATAGAATCTCAAGGTTTTGTCTACCACCCCCAAGAAAATCCCATGTGCGCTGTTTGTTAGATTTTCTTTACAAAATACTGTTGAAACAGTAATGCATGGGTCTTGGCTTAGTTGAATTTATCCCTATTCTCTAATGATTTATAAGACTATTGTAGTTCTGTTTAAATTTTATTTTCTATTTGTTGGTGGTATGTAAATTTACACCTGGCTTTATCTTAAGTGATACTGATTTTTATATCATATTCAAAAGAAAAATTTTGACCAGAGAGATGACTGGCTGCTCTTGCAGAGGACCTGGGATTGATTCTCAGCACCTACATAGCAATTCACAACCATCCATAATTCAGTTCCCGGGTCTTCATGGGTATAAGGCACACATGTTATGCACAGACATATATGCAGGCAAAATAGCCATACATACTGAGTAATAAAATAATTTTTAAAAATTCACTCTACCTGGGCAGTGATGGCAGATGTCTTTAATTCCAGCACTTGGGACACAAAGGCAGGCATATCTCTATGAGTTCAAGACCAGTCTGGTCTACAAAGTGAGTTTCAGCATTACTAGGGCTACACAGAGAAACAGAGAAACCCTATCTTGAAAAGCAAAGCAAAGCAAAACAAAACAAAACAAAAATCACTTAAAAAAGATATACTAATTTAATGCTTTAAAAGTTGTATGTATGATACTAATAGCAAAACATTAAAAGATGCTCATTTGATACTTGCCCACTAGTGAATAATGTAGAAAGTCTTTGATCACTTAAAAAAGATATACTAATTTAATGCTTTAAAAGTTGTATGTATGATACTAATAGCAAAACATTAAAAGATGCTCATTTGATACTTGCCCACTAGTGAATAATGTAGAAAGTCTTTGATTTTCATGATGTTTCTGTAAGAACAGAACACTCTGTATGTGCAGTGAACACTGCAGTTCATAATGGAGCAGTCTTGGCTGAGTAGAGAGGATATGGATTACTTAAATTTATGAGCTAACAATGCAGGGATGACAATGTTTCTGTGGCTTCCATAACTCTGAAGTGCTGCATAAGAACTTCTTTTTTAAGCAAGTAGCATGGTGGCCTTGGGAGATGGCTCAGTTGGATTTCTGCCTAAGCATGATGACTTCGGTTCAGATCCCCAGTGTACACATAGGGAGCTGGAGGGTGGCAGTATGCACCTGCAATCCCAGCACTGGAAAACAAATATGGAAGGATCCTTGGGGTGTGCTAGTCACCTAGTCTAGTCAATCAAACAGGGTCAGATCCAGTTTTGAGAGCCTGTCTGGGTTAGGTCAAGAGTGATGGAAGAAGACAACTCAGCTTTCAGCTGGGCCATAAGTAGATCTTTTCAGTAGATGTTTGTATTTGTCCGGCAATTTATTAGTAGTTGGTTTACCCATTAGGGCTTCAAGCCAAGTAATTTTCACAGTAATGACTTGTATTACTGGCAAGGCCTCTTGTCCTGGCTCAGTCTGTACATCTTTCTGAAATGCAACACCCTATCAAAGTTTGCTAGAAACTAGGTTCAGAAAGTAACATGGAATCCTGTTCTTAAGGAAACATGTGTAGTAAAATCTGGATCTTTTATGAGTAGATGTTGATGAGTATTAATTTTAAAAGAGTGGGGTTCTCTAATATTTGTAAGAGGCAGCTATTTTTTTTCTCCTAAGGTGGTTGGTATCGAACCTAGGGCCTTATGAGTGTCCAACAGGTGTGCTACCATTAGTACTGGTAATATATTATTACTGTGAGTGTGCCTGCATGCGTGCGTGCCTTGGTGCATGTGTGGAAATCAGAAGACAGCTTTCAGGAGTCAGATCTCTCCTTCTACCACGTTGGGCAGGTCTCCTGTCTCTGCTGCACTCTGGCCTCCAGGCCACTCTGCCCAGTAAACTCCCAGGCGATTCTTTTGTCTTGGCCTCCCATCTCTACCAAGGAGCACTAGGATTAGGAATGCCTGCCTCCACATTTAGATTTTCTTCATGAATTTCATGAATCAAACTCAGGCAGATCTTGAGAATTGTGCAGTGAGTGCTTTTTCCCATGGAGCCACCCCGCCAACTCCTGATGCCTGAGTTAGCATCTTCTCCCTCTGGACTGTCGGCATTGTATGCTGCTTATAAGAAGCAGTAGACACCAGACAGCTTTTGGATGGAGAGTGAAGAAGACTTATTATAGGTCCTGAGCAAACTCAAGCTCTTACTCTCAAGACCATTAACTGTACTTATGAGGATTTATTCTAGTAATGTCTTAGGTGGATTATAAGAAAGGTAAAGGTATAAAGAAATAAAACACCTGACAGAATTATATTTTGGTTTACCAGTTTTTCCACTCCCCCCTCCCCAAATTCAGGAAGTGTCACTTAGTGAAAACACATTGCAATGAGATAGTTTAGTGTCAAAGTAACAAAAAGGTCACAAGGCATAGAAGGGACACAAGACAAGCATCTGTATGGCATGTGTGGGCTCAGTGTGTGCATGCTTGTTCAGTCACTCAGATACCACTGATGGAAGGGGCACTTAGGAAGAATGGGACACTGCAGGGCCTTATAACCATAGCTCAAGTGTAATGGCTGTATGACAGAGTTAGTTAGAGGGTGTTAGAGGAAAACAGAAGGTATGTTGGCTAGGAGATGGCAAGAGCTGCCAGTGAAAGGAAGCAGTTTCTAGGGAGCAGTGGATGCATATTAGGGAGCTGTTGCAAGTAGTGGGAGGTCATTCTTTCTTTCAACTACAGATTATTTATTTATTTATCTATTTTTACATGAGAAGTTAGAGAAGTCAAGGAGCTTTTAACAAAAGGTTTGGAGATGTGTTAAAATAGCACAGCACACAAATTTCTCAAAGAATAGATAGACTTGCATTGGTAAAAACAATACACCGTGTAGGTTAGATATATGTTTTAGAAAATATTCTTGTTGAGGGTAGAGAATTGCCACGGAGGAAGTTCTTCCAGTAATTTAAGCACTACATGATTAAAACCTAATCAGACTGGAAGTGTTAAAGAAGTAGAGAGTACATGGGTCCAAGGGGTAGTTAGTAAGTGTGACCATGATAACTTACTGGGTTAAAGCAAAGAACATGGAAGCTTTTAAGATTGGCTGGGACATGGCATGCCTTTAATCTCATACTCAGGAAGCAGAGGTAGGAGGTGCTCTCTGAGTTCAGTGCTACACAGTGAGACCCTGTCTCAATTAATTAATTAGTTAATTATTTTATTAGCTAGTAGCCAGAACAACCAAGTACAAAGGGAGAAGGCACAAGTTACCAATATCAGGAATGGTGGGGAGATCACTACAGGTCCTACAGGCAGTAAAGCAATAACATGGTTCAAACAGTAGGATGCAACATGTCACAATGACTCTGGAGCAAGGATGAAGAGAGTCTTACTGTCGTAATCTAGGCCACTTGATCATTAAAACGATTATGTCCAACATACATGGGTAGTGAGTGTGAACCTAAATGTCATATAAAATCATTAGGATAAAGATTTAGGGAAGAATATTTAACTTACAGAGGATGAGTACTGTTCCTTGTTGGAGTTTGGGTCTTAGTCTTCCATTTATTTATTGTCTTTATAGTTGAAAGAGAAGGAAAAGGTGCTTAGAGAAACCTTGGGTTAAACTGCCTAGGGCTAAGGGTTTGGTTTTATGATGTAGCATTTGTTTAGCATGAATGAAGTCCTTGGTTAAATTAAAGAAAAGACAAACAAAATCTGCTTAGGTGTGTGTTTTGTGCTAAGGTCCAAACTGTATTTTAACCAAATAAGCTCCTTTCTGCTCTTCCCTGTATGGGTAGGAGGCATGCAGAAGAGCTGTGGGTCGCTCGCTCTTCTTACTGGACTGCAGTTCATGAAACAAGGTCCTTTGAAGGATACAAAATAGTATATCAGGATCTTGCACTGTTACTCTCTGCCAGACAACCTCTGGAGATGTAATCAGGCCTGGACTGTCAAGAATACAAGCTCTCGTTTTCTGAGAGTAGGAGGATGGGAAAGATTTTATTATCACAAAACTTCGGGTCAGACACCTGATATAGTTGCAAAATTCAGGCATATCTGACATACATATTAACCATTAACATACCAAAGCAAACACTGAAAGGAAATTAAATGTTCTGTAATAGGATTCAAGTATGAGCCTGCGAGATAAAATGTATAATAGTCCTACAAGCATTTCTATAGAGCTGAGTTTTTATACAGCCATAACTTCAGACTGTCACCGTGTAAAAATGCTTGTGACATAATATGGAAAAATCAGAATGCACATTTCCTGTGCCCTATGATTTTCACTAAAATATATACAAGCAAGATGAAAGTTCATAAAACTGCTTATATGAACTGTAGTATAGCAGTCAAAATATAGGTAATTTTCCTGTCCTGTATTTTATGTTCTCAATAATGTTATGTAGAGTTTGTGGCTGAGAATAAGTTACTCAGCCTTTCAGGAGTGAAGTCTGGATTTTGAAAGTCTCATAAAGGTTTCTTGGTCAGTATCCAGAAACCTATGGGCAGAGTCTGAGTCCTTCTGCTAGAGGCTGGACCAATGTAAACCGAGCCAACGGCTGTTTGTACTGGTTAACCCATCTCAAAACCTCTCTGTATTGAGGTCCCTCACCTGCTAACTCGTTTCATCCCTTTCACAGTCACAGACTGAGCTCTGTGTGTGTAGATGTGCTTGGGCATCATGTCTGCAGTATTATATTTGTCATTGCCGCCTTCCATCTCCCCTTGTAGGAAGCGCATTTTCAACTGAGCACGGCAAACTTCAACATCAGAAGGAATCCCTGAGTGAGTTGCGGAAGGAGTGCACTGCCAAAAGGTAAATGCGGCTGAGAACGGCTTCTCTGGGTGTTAAGCTTGCTGTACGGGGACATTAGGAAAAGCAGCATTTTAAAAGGCTGCTGCTGGTTGACCATCCATGTGTCTCAGCACCTCATTCACTGACTCAGCAGATATCTGTGAATACCTGCTGTGTGTCTGTGCTTGGCTAGAGCCTAGAAACATGGACACTGTTTCTCATCGCCCAGGCCACAGCACTCCCTTCCCCTCCCCTCCCCTTCCTTTCCCTCCCCTCCCCTTCCCTCCTCTCCTCTTCTCTCCTATGTTCTTTCTCTTCTCTTCACCCCCTTCTGTGGCAAGTTCTGCCATGTCACATTTTTCTTTGAGGAACTTTACTAGTAGAGGACTCAAGAATCTTAGACCTAGAACAAAACAGAGACTGTGTGTTCTCATTCACCAGTGTGCAGATAGGAAAGCAAGGCTCTGAGAAGTTACTGTCCAGTTCACTGGCAGAGCCAGCAAATGTTCAGCACTCTTCAGATAGAAGTCGTTAGTGTTTCCCAACACACTGACTTCACAATCTTATGATTGAATTCAGTTCTGACACTGCCTGGATACCTCCTGACAGTTCCTCCAGACTGACACCTGCAAGGAGATAACCTTCGCAAACTCCAGATGGTGACTGTGTTTGCCACCAGCCAGCTATAAATAGTGATTCCCACAAGCCCTTCCTTCACTTCAATTAACTGGCGAATTACTCAAGGGCCTTTCAGACTCAGGGAAACACTGATGTTCACTGCTTTATCCTAAGGGTTGCCAGTGGTACAAATAGCAGCCGAGTGGATGAGGCTCTGCATCCTCTCTGGGCTTGCCATCCTCTGGGTACCATGGCCATCCGAGGCTCATTGGCCTTGACCCTCAGAAGTGATGTAGGGATTTTCCTCCAGCCCCATCCAGCCCCTTCATGGAAGGTGGTGTGAGTGTAGCTGAAAACTAACCCTCTACTACGTGGGCTTTTCAGTGGACCAGCTCTGTCCTCGGCATGTCTACCCCAACTCAGGCATTACCCTAATGAGGTTATCACATAGGAATTATTAAACATTGCAAAACATAACCCCCATCATTCAGAAAATTCCAAAGGAGTTAGGTGCTCTGTGACTAGAAATTGGAGCAAAGTCCACCACATTGGCTAGTGTAACAGAGGCCCTTGGCAGCCCCCACCCCGCCCCTCTGCTCTCACCTGCAGTTTCTTTTCAATCCCTTTTGTTTCTGAGACAGGCAGGAAATATAGTCCATGGATGTTTTCTATTGGCCACATTTCCAGAGTCTTCAGGATGAGCTCCCGTCTTACCTGACTGATGCCTTGAGATTTTGCTCAGCTGTTCATTTTCTTTGTTATTATTGTTTTATTGTTATTATTTTTTTATCACACCATGCTGTTTCTTGAGACAGCTTTAACATGTGGCTGTGAAAGGATTCTTTGGCTTTCTTTTTTAAGGAAATGCTGTATAAATCAAACTCTGAAATCACAGCAGCTTCACTAAGTTACTGGCTATTAAATGTTTACTAGGCCTCTCCCAATCTTCTTACAAGTGAGTACAGTGATAACCCACTGTGGTGGGTGGAGTAATTGAGCAAACCTTTGTAGTGTGCCTGGGATGTAGTGGTAGGCACTCAAGGCATGGGTATTTGGTTGTTATATCTTTATAGCTTTTGGCACAGTGCTGGGCACACACAGGAGCCCACAGTATAAAGTTAACATAATTGACAATGTTGGAAATGGATCAGGACTCAGGGTGGCTGTCATTCCTGCTTCTACTGCTGAAATTCTTTGGCCAATTACAGACCAATAATCTCTTCTGTATTAATTAGGTAAAAATAAGTGTTAGGAATCATACGACCATTTTTTTCATGAATGTACTTTTCCTTTTTCTTCACCAGAGAACTCTTTCTGAAGACTAATGCTCAGTTGACAATTCGTTGCAGGCAGTTACTGTCTGAGCTTTCCTACATTTACCCTATTGATTTGGTAAGTTCCAAATTCCTGAAAAGATTTTTTTTTTTTTTTTTTTTTTTGGAAAGATGATTCCACTTGAAATTTCCTTTCAGTGAAAAGGCCTTTTATCTGTGTACTCTCTTGTGGCTTGGGAGAACATTAAGAGCTATAATCGACTTGCAAAGTATTTTAAAACTCACTTGGGGGAGCCCGGAAGGCAGCTCTCCCCTCCAAGTGCTGACCACACAACCATGAGGACCTGAGTTCCATCCCTGGAACTCAAGTGGAAAGCTGGGGATGACAGCATGCTCTTGTCCCAGTGCTAGGAGGTGGAGACAGGAGGGTCCTTGGGTTTGATGATCAGCCAGTCTCCCCAGTTAGCGAGCCCCAGGTCCCATTGAGAGATGCTGGCTCAAAAAAAAAGGTGGGCAGCTATCTTGAGAAACACCCCCCAGAGTTGACCTCTGGCCTCTCGTTCTTACACACACACACACAAACACACACACACACACACACACACACACACTTAGTTGGCCTCAGATTCCATAGTTTAAAGTTTGATTGTTTTTATATTAGCTTGATGGATAGGATTTGTCATCATCAAAAAGAATGCCAAATTATTTCTGGTTCCTTCAGAATCTTTTATTCAACTAGTTTATCCACTATTACTGACATGTCTTCTGATGTACATGCACTGCTTTAAAACATAATTGCTAAGTGACCTGCTAAGTATTGGTGTTCATTACGGTATTCCTGAGGTAACTGTCATTAATTCACTAATTCATTGATTTTGAATGTAATTGTTTAAAATCAATATAAAAGGTGATAATGAAATAAAACTAATTAGGGTTACTATTTAAAAAACCATGTCTGCTAAATTTGATGGTGTCTTTGTTAATTTTAATCTATTTAATAGACTGTTTTCAGAGGGGAAAAAACAGTAGAATTTGAATTTACTCACGAAATTGTGTTAAGTTATTTATGGGTATCCCTGGTGCACAAAAGGACTTTGGGAGCACATTCCCCATGAAGGAATACTCCCTTAGCCTAGAGGCAGGAGGGAGGGCCTAGTCCCTACTCCAAATGACTAGACGGGTTTTGTTGATCCCTCCTGGAAGGCATCACCCTCCCTGTGGAGTGAGGGGGGTGGGTGGGATAGGAAGGGATGGGAGGGGATGAGAGGGAGGGAGGGAAAGGGAACTGGGATCAATATGTAAAATATAAATTTTAAAAAAGAAAGAATTATTTATGGAATGGATATGGGTTAACCAGAATGGTTTTTTTTGTTTTTTTTTTTTTTCTATTTTTTAAAATGGATATCATGTGATTCAGCCTTCTTCAAACATTCTATGCAGCTGGGAATGACTTTTGAACTATACTCTTCCTGCTTCTTTGTCCCAGGGTTAGGATAACAGACATGTACCACCACCGCCATACTCTGCAGGAAGACATTTCATGGTGTTACTTTCGCATGCCTTTTTCTCTGGATGATGCACATGTGATTTTACTATGAAAATGTCAAGTGTAATAAAATGCAGGAAAGTAGTGTGGCAGTCACTGTGTACCCTCATCAGCCTGAACAGTTCCCACGCTGTTCTTCATTTCAGAGAGTGACTCTGGCCCTGCTGAATTCTAGATTAGACTCAGGGGTGTCTTTGTTTTTAGATCAATGAATTAATTTCATTCTTTGATTAAATTCACAGAATGAGCATAAGGATTATTTTGTATGTGGTGTCAAGTTGCCCAATTCTGAGGACTTCCAAGGTATTTTATTTCTTTTTTACTTCTAAAGATTTGGTATATGTAATATGTATGGGAATAGAGTTATTTTGGTAATGGACACCTAGCACTTTGTCCAAAGGGGATTTTAGAATTTCTGCCTCTTTCCAGTTAGAAGTACTTAGAATCTGCTTCCCTGGTAGGAAATGTAACAAAATATTTGGCCTAATTTTAAGATAAATAATTATTGAACCTTGTATTTGAAATTTAAAAATAAAAGTAATGGTCTTCAAATATCAGGCTAGTCCTGGTCTTTTTAGTTGGGTTTTATGAAAATCTGTGTATAGCTAGGAACAGAGTTAGAGTATGCATTAGTTTGTTGTTTAAAATAATTTCATTACCATTCTGAAAACTATTTGAAATTTTATCTTGTGGTATTTCTATTAGCATAGCTTTAATTTGTTGAATTCTTACTGCTCTTTTTTATATTAGAAGGGTTACAGAATTCAAATTCAGAATAGTCACTGTATTTTAAAAATCTTTTCTTTTTTTCTAGTTTCTGTAAAATATACCAAAGAAAAGAGTATACATATATGTATATACATAATACACGAATGTATTAATGCAAGTGCTGGGGATCTGAACTCATGTTCGTGCAGCAAGCACTTTACCCATTGAGTCACCTCCCCAGTCCAAGAGACTGTTTTCATTGTTAACTACTGTGTTGTTTTCCCCCATAGCCTAAATGCTGCTTGCAGTTCTCCTAAAATGCCTTGTAGAGTATTCCCAAAGCCAGCTGGACATCACAGAACTCGAAGGAGAGGGTGTTGTTAGTGTCGGTCAGGATGTGCTTCACTCCCTCTAAAGAACATTTCTGTTGTGGTCATAACCATTCAAATGCAGTTTAGTCGGTCACCTGTTGGCCTGTGTAACACATGGAAGCTAGGACATGATATCAGAACAGTGATAACCAGGAGATGGGAAATCTCAGTTCAAATCCTGGCCCGCTTCTATAAGCCATGTCATGTTTGAGTTAATTTCCAGTCAGCCTTGTGTAATTGCTGTGAGAATTGGGACACACCCAGGCCTGTAAAAGCTGGGGAAGCCGGAGGAGTGGTGTTAGCAACAGAGCTGGGTAGGTCTACCATGTCACACAGATCCTCAAACCTTTCAGTCAAGCAGTGCGCTTTGGTGTTTGTTCTGTGTGAAGTTGTGATGTCCTAAAGCCATGATGCATTATTTTCCTCACTCACTAAAAAAAAAAAAAAAAAAAATATTTTCTGGGGGCTGGAGAGATGGCTCAGCTAAAAGTACCACCTGCCCAGAAGACTCGGGTTTAATCCCCAGCACCCACTCACAACCATCTGAATCTCCAGTTCGTGGTGATCCAGTACCTCTGCAGCATCAGGCATAAACATATATGCAGGCACAACACCCATGCACATAAATGGAAATAATAATCAAAATTTATTTACTAAGTATCTACCAAACACCATGCTTAGTTCTGAGGGTGTAATTATTTTAAAAAAAAAAAAAAAAAAAAAAAAAAAAAAGCAAACATGTTCTGTCCTTCCATGGAACCTACAGCCTACTGAAGGAAAGAGCCAATCAATAAGGACATAATTAATAACCAGATACTTAACAAGACATCTTGTCAGACAGTGAGGTAAACTACTTTAAATATTTAGAGAAGACCACTCTAAGGAACAACACTTAACACACAATTTCAACGCTAAAAGACTAATTGGACTATAGATATAGAGGGCTTAAGTTCAAAGGTCATGGTGGAGGGGCCCTTGAAAAACTCAGTTTGGAGTATTGGAGGAAAGACTATTTAGGCATATCATGTACTATCTTAGCTTGTTATTTGCATCGGTAATTCCCTGGGATGATTGAATGAGATGACATTTCAAAGAGCTTTTCATATAGGAAGTCCTCAATAAACATAATTGGAATTAATTGCAAATAGGAGAGGAAGATCAGATCTATGTGAGTGACACTCAGTAAGCACCATGGGAAGAGGGTTAGGGGGGGGGGAGAGGTCCTCAGGGCCTTGGGGCTATTAGAAGGAATTTCTGTTTCTTTCTCTGTGTGTGGCCAATGCCTAAAGGGCTTCTGAGGGACTGTGGCAAGCACTGAGCCTGCTCTGCATCCCTCCAGCTGCTGAGCAGGGATTGGCCTGATGGAAGCAGGGCTAGTGTTAGTGGTGCTCTCTTATCCTGGACCATTCCGCAAGGTTCTTGATTCTAGTTTGGTTTTCTTTGAAGTGCCTTGTTTCTCATGGCTATCTACACTTAGAATGCTCAGTAAAGCCAAATCCATTCCCAGCCCTAAAAATGCATAGTAGCCCTTCATTGAAGTCACTGAAGAGTAAAACAGGAGATAAGATGAAACAAATGTTTAATTTTAGTCTAAGGTCCTTTTCAGTCCACTCCCCGTGTCCCCAGGAGTCAGCAGGTTTAAGAAGGACATAGGGTAGTATTGTGTTTGCATTCTGTGACCCTTCTATAGTATAACAAACAACACAGATGCCCTGCTGGTTCTCCACTGTGCCAGACGCCAAAGGACTGTGGAGAGGATTAAGGCATTGATCTGGCTTCCGGAAGAGTGTAGTCCTGTTGTGGGCATCAGCTATGTAATCGAGACAGGCAAGGAGTGGTTATTAAATACATAGTCTATGTTAAAGACTCAGAGTAGGATTAATTCCCTTGGGGGATCAGGAAGACCTCTTCATAGAACCAGGGAATGCCTGAACTGTCTTCAGAAACAACTCATGTCCCTGTTGACAGGAGGGTAAGAGAGTGACTTAGGCCAGGTGAGTAGAAATGCAGTAACATCAACTGATACTGGTCAAGTGTCTGTATTTTCAACACTTGGAGGCAGGAAGAACAGGAGTTCAAAAGCCAGCTTCCACTATCTGAGTCTTTTCTTGAAAACTGCAAAGAAATACAGTGCTGTTTGATGTTATGCTACTACTGAGGTCCTGTGAGTCTCCTCTTGTGGGTAGAGAATTGCTGTATGGGTGTTGTTGTTTCAATTTGAGAGAGAGAGAGAGAGGAGAGGAGAGGAGACAGAGAGACAGAGAGAGACAGAAAGGAAGGAGAGATATTGAGGCTTCAAAAAATTCAAAACTTCTTCATCCGAGGACTCAACTGGTGGCAAAGCTGAAGTTAACCCTGCTCTGCCTGAATCCAAGGGTCTGTCTTATTCCTGTCGTGATGTCCTTTTCTTTCTTCTCTTTGAATCACGACCTCCCGAGCCTTAAGACTCGGTGTGCATTCTGGGAGAGGTTCTAGGAAAGGAGCTTCCAGCTGATTTTCTCATGATGTTCATGAGCCTCTGCTAGGTAGGGATTAACACTGCATGGGTCAGTTATGTTTGGGAAACTCCACCAAGGGGCCCGGTATTTATTATGCTTTACCAAATGGGTAAGTAGTTGTTAGAGTGTGCCAGAGAGTGCTGGACACAATGGGAGGAAAGTGTCCAGAAAAGAATGTTCATCTGAGTTCCATTGACCGAGACACTTAGTTTAAAAAGAGAAAAGAAAAAACAAAAAACCCAAAACCCCAATGTTTGTGCTTGTGTGTTTTTAAGTAATCTATAACACGAGAACCTTTTGTGGTAATGAGACCCAGATGTCCTCTGTATCTGTGTCCCTTCATGCAGGCATGATTTCTTGGAAAGGAGAGGCTATATGTCAAACAGTGTCTCATTGAGAACATGGAATGATTCCATAAATGCTGTGGCAGTGATTAGAGTCTTAACTATTTTGTCCTGTCTGAATCAGTGTGCTTGGTTCCCTAACAGACAGGTTGCCTCAGGGATTGGGAGGCAGGATGGTAAGACCTTTGAGATCTGTGCTTGTACGAGTTACAACACGAACAGTTTGTCCAGCATATAATTCAAAGGAACATTGATTTGATGTAAATGTTTGTGTAGCTATTGCATATTTGTGCGTTTTTAATCATAAAAAAACACATAAAAGCTCCAACTTTGAGTAGTGTCCTACATTTTAAAAACAAATAGAAAGCCAGGCAGTACTGGCCCAAACCTTTAATCCCAGCACTCAGGAGACTGCTGTGAGTTCGAGTCCAACCTGGTCTACAGAGTGAGTTCCAGGACAGGGCTCCAAAACTACACAGAGAAACCCTGTCTCAAAACACCCCCCCCAAAAAAAAATAGAAATGCCTATTATGAGGGAACTGTGGGGTTTTGATTTGATCTCAAGCTCTTCAAACCCTGTTGAATTAGTATCATTTCACATTCCTAAATCTTACAGTTCTTCATCGCTCCTAAACCCTCCCCTCTCATTCTGACTTCTCACCAACAGAACTATCATTCATGACCTTTCAACTCCCCAGAGCAGCATAGGAAACCTATACCTCTCCTCCTGTTAGGTGTTGTGGACATCATTATTACTTGCTGGAGAGCCAGCAGGTAAAAAAAGAAAACGTCTTTCAGATCTCAGAATGCTGGGAACCTTATACCTTTTGGTTTTCAGCTAAAATGACTGGCAACAGAATGTGACATGTGAGGTTGCATGGCCTACAATTGCTGTAATTAACCACATGAGCTCACATTCTCCCACTGGAGGCTCAGTGGCCATGGGGTGATGAAAGTGACTTCCCTACCAGGTTTTCCTTTTGAGTGTATTGAAATGCTCCTGGGCCCTGTAAGGGTCCACCCATGACCCTTTTAAAATGCTTTTAATATAAAGCTTCAATATTGGAAATCCAACACCGCAGTGTTTAACTGTGGGGCTGGTGGAGCATGATGGTCTGGACTGGGAAGCACTGCGGGGTGTTTAGTAGGGAGAGCAGGGAGCCCTGTGGGAGCAGCAGTGGTGTGAATAGCCTGAGCTGAAGGTCGCCTCCAGTGTCACTTAACTTTGTTGTCCACTACTGCTTTTGATTTTGTTTCATTTTTGTGTATGAAATCCTCTTCGAGATGCCTTTTGGGTGTCTAAACTTAAGCAAAATTGGTTTTGCTCACTGTGGGAAGGTGATTCAAGATTGGGTCTTTGTTCTCTTAATAAAGATGTGTATGTTTTTATGTAAAAATATGCAGATGTAACTTTCTTACCCTTATCCTTTGGTAATATGAGAAGCATGATGTATTAACCATTAGCAGTTTGTATTTGACTTTTTTGGAAGGCTCATTAAAAGGTTTTTGTATTGAAAAGTTTCAAACCATTTCCTACCTGGTCATGTAGGAAGGTAATGTTAAATCCATAAAGGGAAGTGTTAATGTTGTGAAGTGTGAGGTCTTCCTCCTTCTCTCCCTTAGGAAGAAGGTTCTTTTCAACACAAGTCCTTTTGCTCTTAGGGATGGTTTCAGTTTGGTGGCTCTGCACTGGGAAGGCACTCCCAGTCTCAGCCCTGGCTCCAGACATAGATATTTGGAGAGCACCATATTTTGAGGCATAGAAGCAGTTTTTCCACTCACTGTATTGCTTATGGTTTTTACCAATGATTTTGACTAAGCTGTCCCACCTGGACCTCATCTTAGTCATCAGTGGGTTGATGGTATTACATGCTGTGATATCTAAGATTTCTCTTAGCTTTAAGATTCTGAGAGAACTCATAATGTGAAGCACTTTTTTGGCTGGAGAAATACCCCAGTCAGTTAAGTGCTTGCTGTGTAAGCATGGGGACCCGAATTCAAGCTCCAGGACCCATGTACAAAGCCAAGTGTGGTGGTGCATGCCTGTGATCCCAGTGCACGTATCCCAGGATCCCCGGGGTTCCAGTCAATCTAGTTAAATCCCTGAGCCCCAGGTACCAGTGAGAGACTGTCAAAAAAACAAGATAGACAGATCCTGAGAAATAACACCTAAGATCTCTCTCTCTCCTCTCTCTCCCCCCCCCCCTCTCTCTCTCACACACACAGAGTCATGTACTTTTAGTCACTAATATAGAATGATGTACAGGTTTCTACAAAGATTTTTATTATTTTTAATCTTATATGTATCTCTGTGTCTGTGTGTAGTTATGTACACGTGTTTGCAGATGCCCAAAGAGGCCAGGAGGCATTGGATCCTCCTGGAGCAGGGATTACAAGTGGATGTGGGCCACCATCAGGTGGGTTCTGGGGACGGAACTCAGGTCCTCAGGCAGAGCAGTGAGTGCTCTGAACCTTGGAAGCTGTCTCTCCAGCTTGGGATCACAGACTGTTTATGGTTCTTTTCTGTTAATACAAAAGTGTGAAGATGCTGTGCACATGTGAAGTGCCTGATACGTTCTAGAACTCCATGTTAAAATGAATAGATGCTGTTTTTTTTTTTTTTTTTTTTTTTTTTTTAAACAAGGAGGTTCTGTGATAGTGGGAAGAGTGGGCAAGGACCAGCTGACCATCTTTGTTACTTTGGATAGTTCTTTGGTCTCTTTGAGCCTTAGTTTTTGTTTTGTTTTGATTTGATTTTAATCTGTAAAATGCATGAGACAATATATTAAAGAGAAGTCCCGTTTAGTGTTTGTTGGGTGAATGAATGACTATCGGATATAAAGTATTACTACAGACGTATTCTAGGAAGAAGAAAAATGAGTGTTATTTGTACACAGGATGATCACAGAGAAACTGAGCGACTGATGTGTAGTCAAGGGCAGGGACTTCACTGTGGAAGGGGCAGTGAAGAGGCATTCCTGCCATGAGAAGCTAGTGCACAGATACTGAAACTATAAATGGAACAGTATGAAAAATAGCACTAGTAATTGAAGTTAAAGGTGTCCTTAGGAGCCAGGCTGTAGTGAGGCCACAGTCACTGCAGTCATCTCATCCCTCTCTCAGTGGCTGGGAGGCCCAGGCATCTGTTAAATCTTGACACGTGCAGCTTTGTAAGGTTCTTAAACTGTATGCTAGGGAGGCAGTTTTACTTTTCTTCTTTCTTAGGGACATGTGAAACTTGAGTTCTGACAACCTGAGCAATCATTTGTGAACTTTAGGTAGGAGCAGAAATATGAATGATGAGTTTAGGATATAATTTAAAAAGCCAAATGCTTATGTTTGTAAGATACATGAGTTTTCCCTTGTAGTTACTTCCACCTATATGGTTAGATTCATGTGTGAACAATATGGTTTTTTATCTTCGTTTCATTATGGACCGTATTTCCCCTTTATCTAATCTCAAAGTTTATTTATGCAACATATCCTTATCAATGTCTGAAGTATACCCTGTAAGGAGGTAATGCATTCTTTTATTTTCCTTCAGAATTAATAATCTTGTACAGCATTTGGATGGACTACATTACATTAAAACCTCTGACTAATCACATTATGTAATGAACTCAAGTAATAAAAGGATTCGAAAGAAAGTAATGGCTATTTGGGCACACTGAGATCTCTTGCATAAGATGTATATCATATGTTAACCTCAACACACTAATCATTGGGAGATAAGTGATCATTTAGATAAGTGATTAATATTTTACTTCCCACATATTTGTATAAGACCTCCTCAGAGCTACATTTGTAAGGTAAATGGTTGTTTTAATTTCCTATGTTTTTGAATTTACAGCAAAAGATGATGGAAGCATTGCCGTTGCCCTTGGTTACACTGCACATTTGGTCTCCATGATTTCCTTTTTCCTACAAGTACCCCTGAGATATCCCATAATTCATAAGGGGTCCAGATCAACAATCAAAGATAATATTAACGACAAGCTGACTGAAAAGGAGAGAGAGTAAGTGTCTTTCTTGTTTGTTGTTAATATAAACTGATTGGAAACATGGGTGAAATGGTAAGTATGTTGGAAATGTGAAGTGTCCTCTATGTCCTCTAATGGGGACAGTTTCTCTACGACCTGTACCTTTTGTAAAGCACACCTTGCAACATGGTGACACTGTCCAAAACAAACAAATTGTGGAGCAGGGAATATGACTTAGTGGTAAAGTACTTGGCCGTGTGTATTGAGGTTTTGGTTTGACCCTTAGCACTGGAAATGAGATTTAAATAACCTAAAGGTAAACAGAGAAACCATAAAGAAAGTATAAAATTTAAATTGAATGGTAATGAGAACATAGCATGTCAAAGTTTATGGAGTGTAACTATATCTGGACTCAGGGAAATGTATATCTAAGTACATGCACCAGAAAAGGTATTCAAAAGTAAATTATCTAAGTCTCAAGTGAAGCAACTGAAGAACAGTTAGCAAAAGCCCAGGAAAGAACGTGGAAGGAATTTAGAAAGAAGAGAGAGAAGATGGAATAACAGTTTGAGGGATGAAAAAAGGAGAAACACTACAAATATGAATTCAGGCATTAGAGAGTAAAGAGACAATGCAGGAAACTTTAATACATTAGAAATTCTAGTCAAATGATTTCTAGAAAGACAAATTTCCAACACAAACAATTGGCATTTACAGAGTAAGCATGGTCTATGAGCTGTAATCCCAGCAACCCCAGCTCCTGGGAGGTGAGGTAGGACAAGAAAGAGGAGGGGGGGAGGGGTTGGAGAGGAGCAGTGGCCAGGCAGGGAAAGGGATAAGGAATGTCCAAGTGAATTACTCTCAACTCTGGCTATGCATTAAAATCATCTTTAGAACCTTAAAAACTGAGCTTTTGACCCCTAGATTCCTGACCCCCACCCTCTCCTGGAGATCCTGACATTATTGGTAGCACTCAGATATGAGTAATGTTTAAAAGCTTTACTGATGGTTCTGATGTATGATGCGATTGAGAACCACTGTCCTGGATTAGGAAGATCTCGTTTCCATGGCTTGAAAATTAGATATTACTAAGTGTATTTAGGGAACTTGAAAGCAGTTTAACATCACTGTCTTTAGAGGGAAGGTGGGCAGTGCAGAGAGAGTACCAACGGCATGGCTTAGCAGTGTGGCCCTGCCCTCCAATGAGTATTGGGGGGCAGTTGTATCTATAATAAACATGTACAGTTGTACCCTAAACAAAGTAAAACAACTACTTTTAAAGATTTTTCTTTAACTTTCTGTTTTATTTTTAATTGTGTGTATATGGGGAGGAGGTGTTGCACAGGAGGCAGGAAGTCTTCAGATGCACTGCAGCTGGTGTTCTAGGCAGTTGTGAGCTGCCTGGTGTGGGTACCCTTAACTGGTAAGCCACCTCTCCAGCCCCAGTAACCGCTATTTAACCACCAGGCAATAGTGTTGCTCTGTTTATTTGCAGGTGTTGGGTACCCATTCTGTTCTTCTGTGCACCAGTGGAGTTGCTGGGACATGTGGTTATTGTCATATAGTAGGACTTAGAAGCCACTTAAAAGTACTTTAAATCATAGCGTATGTGTGGGCTATATGCAATACCTTACTGTTAATATAAGGGACTTGAGTCTCGTGGGCTCTGGCAACCATGAAAGAGGGTGGGAATCAGTCTAGATATTAAGGGATGACTATATGTCTGGAAGAACAATGACTCTCAGCTAAGGAGCGCTTGAAGACATTAGATCAGTACCTTTTCCAATGTTGTGATTGACTTGAGCCCAAGAATGCTTTTCAGTTTAAAAAACATAAGAAATTGAATGAGAGCCTGTAATGTATGTATTTGACAAGGGGAACATGAGGTTGTTTTCTTTTCTTAGATATTTTTTTTAAAAATCAGTTTGAAATTCGTGTAACACAAAATTCAAGATTTATTTAAGTATTCAGTGGCATTTTAGTATATTTTCATCATTGTGCACCTAGCACCTGTATGGTTCTGAAACCCCAAATAAAATCCTGTGCCCATTAAGCAGTTACTCCCTGACCCCTGCCCATCCTCCGTCCCTGGCAACCATCAATCTATTTCTGTCTCTATGGATTCTTCCTGGCTTCTATCAGTTAGCATAATGTTTTCAATATGTGTCCATGCTGGAGCACAGTCAGCATGTGCTTCATTCACTTTTATGGTCCAGTAATTTTCCGTCAAGTGTGTCTACCACATCTTGTTTCCTCATTCACCTCCTGATGGACATCTGGGTTATTTCTACCTGTGGCTCTCATGAATAGTGCCGTTATGAGTATTTCCTCGTAGTTGTTTGGATGCCCATTTTCAGTTCTTTCCTTCACTTCCATGAAGTTGCTGAGTCATGCACTAAGTCTGTTTATCTTTGAGAGGAAACACCAAAGTGTTGCCCATTCTACATTTCCAGATGTGAAGTGCCCCGCTTTGTGGTTTTGCTTTGTTATTCCTTACCAAATGGTGCTTGTTTTCATTGTTTTTTCTTATGCTTAGTAGCCATTTGTGTATCTTCATTGATGAAATGTCTCCTCATCTATTGCCCATGTTCTAATTGGGTTATCTGGTTTGGGATGTTTTATTTGTTTTGGTTTTGTGTGTGTTTGTGTTTTTGAGACAGGGTTTCTCTGCTTAGCCCTGGCTGTCCTGGAACTCACTCTGTAGACCAGGCTGGCCTCTAACTCAGAGATCCACCTGCTTCTGCCTCCCAAATGCTAGGATTATAGGCGTGCACCACCACCCAGCAGGTTATTTGTTTTTGTTGTTAAGTTTATGTATTCTGGATATTAGACCCATATCAGATAAGTGAACTGTAAACATTTTCTGTTATTCTATGAGTTGTTACGGTTCAAGTGAAAACTTAAAGCCAGTATTATGTGCCTTGGCATGTGGTAAACACAGGAAGGCCTCCCAGGATCACTGAAAGGACCAATCACATCCAACTCCTGCAGCCAGGGTTCACGTCCATTTTTGATACTATAAGGCTGGTGTGTCTAAACAGACCCCATGTCTAATCTGTTTGCGCTATTATAGCAGTGTGCGTGTGCACATGTGCTGGGAAATTTATAAACCAGGAATTTCTTTCTCATAGTTCTGGAAGCTGGGAAGAACCCTAGCATGTTCTCTGTCCACCTAGGCTGTGCCTCCCTCTTACTTCACCCTCCAAGGAAGGCATGTGAAGGAACCAGATTCCTCCTTTCCTTTCGTCATAGCTTTAATCTATTCATGACGACAGAGTTCTTATAACCTGACCACCCCTTAGAGAAAGGCTCCACCTACCAACACTATTGAACTGGGGTTACATTCCTGGCATATTCATACTTCAACATTCAGATTGTTCACTCTTTTTACTGAATGCAACTCCTAACTGTGGTGTGCAGTGTCCTCTTCCTTGGTGGTGTTAGTACACATGTCTGATAACCTGCTCTTAAGCCCAGGTCAAGGATGAGATATTGCATATTTAACCATCACTGTAATGCTAGGGTGGGAATCTCCCTTCAATGAGTAAAGAGTAAGCAATTAAAAGAGTTGCTTCACAGCCTTCTTGGTTCCCCTGATGCATAAGAGGTTTTTAATTTTGATAAAGTTAGTTTTTCTGTTGTCTCAGGTGCTTTTAGTTTCATATCTGAAACCCATCATTCGGACCAAGGTCATAAAGATTTATCCCTATGTTTTCCTATACTAGTTTTGAAATTTTAATTCTTATGGGTAGCTGTTTGTTCCATTTTGGGGTGTTTCTTTCTTTTTGATTTATAGTGTGTTGGAAAAGCTATTCTTTCTCCCTTGAATGGCCTTGGCATCCTTGTTGCAAAAGAATCAATTGGTCACGGATTATTTCTAGACTGTTATTTCTATTCCAGTTGTCTGTATGTCTGTGTTTATGCCAGGGCCGTAATAATGTTTGCAATTTTGAAGGGAAAGAACTCCATATTTGTTCCTTTGCAATACTGTTTTGGATATTTAGGGTCCTTTGCAATTCCTTAAGAATTGGAGGATCAGGCTTGCCAACTCTGAAAAAAGAAACCACATTGATTTTGAAAGGGATTGTACAGAATCTATGGATCAGAGAAGAATTTCCATGTTATTAACAAGTATTGGCATCTTATTGGTAATTAAAATAGTAACAGCTTGTCTTTATTTAGGTCCTTTTCAGTTCTTCTTGGCAATGTTTTATACCTTCAATATACAAGTCTTGAATGCCCTTGCTTAAATATATTTCTGCTGTCATTTTTATTTTGCCATTTCACAGATTGTTTGAATTTTCTATATATTGGTTCATATTGTCTGTGAACAGAAAAAAAAATCTGAATTCTTTCCGACTTGGATGCTTTTTGTTTTGTCTTGTTTTTCTTATGTAATTGCTCCTGCTAGAACTTCCAGCACAACACAGAGTAACAGTGGGAAGAGCAGTGCTTTCTCTTAAAATGGAGAGGCACGAGGAGGTCAGAAGAGGGTCAAGCAAGAGAGACGACCATGGCCAGATATGTACTTGAAAGAGAGCACCTTAAGATTGCCTTTGTTTCTTTCTACTTACATTTATTTATTTGTGTGTGTGCAGTCCCACCTGTGTGCATCAGGAGGATGTATGTGTATGTGTGCACTTTCATGTGCATGTATGTGTTACTTACACGCTTGCCTGCATTCCATGATGTGAGTGTGAAGGTCAAAGAACAATTTAGGAGTTGGTCCTCTCCTTCAGTGTCTTGGATATCAATTTCTAGTAACAGTGGGCATCTTTACCTGCCAGTTCCCTCCCAGTCCTCACCTTATGGAAGCACAGGTTTCCTTCACCCTCTGATCCTCCTTGTAGTCCATATTATTTTTCTTTCTTTCTTTGCTTTTCAAGACAGGGTTTCTCTGTGGCTTTGGAGCCTGTCCTGGAACTAGCTCTGTAGACCAGGCTGGCCTCGAACTCACAAAGATCTGCCTGCTTCTCCCTCCTGAGTGCTGGGATTAAAGACTTGCGCCACCAACGCTGGCTATTTTTGAAAGTAAA